TTCAGACATGTCAAATTCATGGCCTGCTGGTCACCACTCCCCTCTCTCCTGGCAGACATCATCAATCAATATTTCTGCCCTGACGAAGGAAGCATCTAAATCAGTTGTTGTCAGCACCAGCTGCAGGCTGGAGTACCTGGGAGCTTTGAAAACTTCCTGATGCTTGGGCCCCACCCCCGAATATTCTAATTAGCCTGGAGGGCAACCTAGGCACTGAGGTTTTTAAAACTCTTCCCTGGTGATTGTAAAGTGTAGTCCAAGTCCAGGATTCTCAGTCCAAATCAAGAAGCTTGGGAAGCCACACCCACCCAGCCGATGAAATCAATGGTTGTTCAGCTCTGAGCCCCACCACTCTGAGTGGTTCGTGGACCAGTGACTTTGGGTAAACCCGGGTGCTGGTTAAGGATGGACAATGTCAGCCCCACCCAGACCTGCTAAATCTTAACCTGCACTTTAGCCAGATCCCCAGGAATTCACGTGCATGCTGCACAGAAGGGCCCTGGACGGGATGATTCCCAGGTGCCTTGCAGCCCAGACAGTCTGTGATCTGGCCCCACCCACTGCCCTCCACCACTTATGGGTGTGGGTTTTAAGAGCTGATGTGGTTTAGGAAACTGTCTGTTCTTATATTGGCATGGCAATTTATGGTTTTACTTTTTTCTATTGTTTAGATACATCTTTAATTAGAAATGTTTTGCACTATAGTCTCTATAAATAATTCCCTTGATACTAATCTCATCCAGAAAGCCATTCTCCCCGCTGAAGAACTCATGACAAGTAAACACAAGAAAAGTCTTCCCCATGGAGTCCACTTCCTGGTTAAAGTCTGAGTTCATACAGGTTCTTTCAATGCAGAGGCAAAGACCTGGGGCCATTTCCACTGGAGTTGGACCCATGGGGGAGCTGCTTGGGGGGGGGGTAGGTGCTTCATGTCTCCTTGGAGGGACTCCTTAAGTACCATTAAAGTATATCAAGGGTCATCATATAGCCTTTGACTCTGTTTTATTATTACTGTTACTTTATCCCCAAGAAATAAACCAAAATATGGTGAAAAACTTTATGGGTAAAATGTTTCTGTTAGAGAGATCAACGTGTAAGATAAACGTGAAAATGCTCAACAGTGGAGAGAAATGTGACTCACTCACTTTAGGGCCCGTACAGGGAGTCATGGAGCTGCATGGAGCATATATGATCACAACTATGTGTATAGAAAAAGAAATTCATAGAAAAAGTCAGGAAGAAAAAACAAAAGGCATTCATCAAAGGTATATGGCAGAAAAGAAAAAAAAATCACCCACAATCCCATCACTCTATCTTTCAAGGTTCTTATGTTTGCAAAACATCACCGTCTTTTTTATTGTGCTTGGGGGGTACTTTAAGAAAAGCCTTGTGCTGCTGAGAGCAGCGTGCTTATGTTGAGGTGTTTTTTTGGTGGAGGAAGGTGTTATTTGGTAATTAAAGGATGAAAGTAAGAAAAACACTACAGATCATCATTTGCAGATGGGGAAACGGGTCCAGAGATGTTAGGCAATATGCCCAAGGTCACACAGTGGGGAAGTGGCCACAAACCAAAGCAAAACGAACCCGGTTTCCTGATGGCAGGGTTTCCCTATGTATATACCACCACACTATGTCACTATGCATGTGCTTTACTTTTTCATAGCCCTCCTTCTGATGGGCTGCACCCCATTTAAAAAAAAATGAGTTATTGCTCTCAACACATTCAATAGTCTGAGTTAAATAGCAACACAAGAATTGATATTTATGGCAAACCAGCACTCTGTCTTCGCTGCCTTTTAATGGACAGGAAAACTGTGATCCAGAGAGGGCAAGCTAGTTGCCTGAGCAAACACAGCTCATAGGAGGCCGAAGCAGGATTGGAACCAGGTGTATGCGATGCTCAAGCCCCCAGCAGCTTGGGGACTTTGAAGAGAGTGGACAATGAGGACTCCCTGAGGTGTTTGCTGTTTAAACAGATACACCAGAAACCGGGGGGCAGCTAGGGTGGCTGAAAGGCTGGTGGGTGGCCTGCAGGGTCTCTTGTGCCATCGTGTGATGACAAATCATATGATGATAAATCATGTGACTCCCATGGTGAGGCCTGGGTCCTCCAAATGTTTCTTTCCTGCGAGGGCTGGGGCATGGGGAGCAGTGTCCATCCTCTCTGCGGGCACCCCAGGGGCATCTGCTGCCAGCCAGGGCTTCTGCGGGGAAGACTGAGTTCAGGTTGGCCAAGCCCTTGCTGCTGGGGGACCACGCTGTATGTCCCCAACAACTTTACTATCCTGATGTTTGAGAACGTAGCCAAAGTTCCCAGATGGATTCCTGGAGCAAAGTTTCCACATGGATTGCCATCTATGACCTGCTCAGTGAGAAGAGAATGGGCTTTGCGCTGTGCAGGCTGAGGTCTCAGAACTCATGCTTTCAATATGACATGCAATCTTTATGCTGTATTTTATGCAATCCTGGCACAACTCTACAAGGTGAGGACCATTACTATCCCCACTTTACAGGTGAGCAAACTCAAGCTCAGGATGGTGAAGTAACTTGCCCAGGTGATAGGCTAGGGTTTAGCCCCGGGCAGTGTGACCTGGGCTTTAACTGCTGATAATGGAACTCCCTGATATCACAGCACAGAGGCTACCATTTGGGCTGTGCCAGATAGCCTGGCTTTGGCTCCTGACCCTATCACTTTGTCACTTCCCAACAGTCTGGTCTTCAGAGATTGACTGACCTCTCTTTGCCTCAGTTTCCTCATTTATCAAATGAAGGCAATAAGAATGCCTGCCTTGGGGATTGTTGTGAGGGTCAGATTAGCTTTTCACATAAGCTGATGTAACAGTGCCAAGGTCCTGGCACCTGGCAATGCCTCCGTGAAGGCTACCTGTTATGAATCTAATCATTTCTTTGGTATAGCTGAGCCTCATCTGTTATCTTCTCTCTGTGAAATTGAGCTGGTCTTCCCTTCCCTCCATTTCCTTATGTTAAATGTGGACAATGACCGTTAACGTCAGGGTCGTTGAGAGAAGATGGGAGACAACGTGGATAAAACTGCTGTCTCAAATATCAAGTGTCTGCGGACCTCTGGACCAGCATAGTTTAATTTCAGATATTCACTCTGTCTTCAGATGTACTTCCCAGTCCTCGCCTGGGGTATGACCCTCTCTGATGAGAATCATGTAATCAACATAAAATTCACCATATTAAATATAGCAATCAACCAGAAGAGGGATCACCTTTATAAGCGCTGGTATTGGGTGATAAAACCAGGGGAAGAAACAAAGTGAAGCTTGGTGGCCCTCTTGTTGTGAAAGAAAAGGAAATTGCCTTCCATTTAGGCTAAAACAACTTTCTGACAAAGAGGAAGAGGGAGAGGCTTAATCAGAAGTGATTTTTTAAAATCATGTTTGCTCAGGAGCTGTTACATTCAAATTGTGACTTAAGAACAAAGGAAATTAAGCTTGCATTCAGCTGAGTTGAAGTTGGTGTCAGCCGGTTCCAATAGCAACGGAGGGGCAGTGGTTTTTGTGACTGTCCCCTTGGCCTCTGCATCCCCATCCCACTGTGAGGGAGCTGGGTGGGGGGTGGGATGGATTGGGGGTTGGGGGGCAGGGTGGGAGGATAGAGAGTCCAGATGACCGATTCTGCCATCACCTAACTGGTCTTTTCTCATTAACCCGTGGTCACACCCGCTCGGTAAGTCAGAGAAAAGCGAAGAGGGGAACTGAACCCACACACGGGGGTGCGGGAAGGGTGGAAATCTCTTGGCTTTGCTAATTGGGGTTCTCTTCTCATCTCAGTTAGGTTCTGCTCTTTGTCTGAGCAGACAAGATAAGAAGGAAGCTGGGGTTTTCTAACAAGCCTGCCTGGCAGGGCCGCGAGGTCCACATCAGCAAGAACCCTTGTGTGTTTGGCAGTAGAATTACTCTCCTCAGAAAACATCGGCACGATGTGTGATGTTGCTTAGGGAAGCTGGAGGCGATGCTAAGCCCCTCGGAAACCGAGCTGCAAACGTTAAGCTGGGATACCACTGTTCCTTTACTGGGAATGCATTTCCTTCTGAGCGGCTGACCCATTCGTTCGTCAGAAAAATGAACGTTCTGGCCAGCCAGTCACTCTCCAAAATCACAATTGCTTTCAGAAAACAAAAGAAGCATCAATTTGTAAAGGCCTGTGAGTGCTTTTATTGTGTGCTTGGAAATTATAAAACTCAAATCAAACAACATAAAATTGTACCCCTCTTTTGTGTCTTTTCATTAGAAAGCCTGGTGGGGGAAAACAAATAATGATGCATCAGCATTTGTTTTTGCTTTTTTAAAAATTTTTTTACACAGACATAATATATATAAAAAGCAACTCAAGGAATTTGTAAATTCAAGCAAGGAGATGCTGACTTTAAAATTTTAAAGTCCCCACATATCTAACAGCCCAAACCCAAAACAGTATGTAGCCCTGATAATGGATGTTTTCTCCTATCTGAATATAAAAAAAAAGCATTATATGTTATATTGACATTCAGGCTAAATCCTTCCCTTATAAGGTGTTTGACATAAATAGCTTTTATTACATAACTGTTAAATAGAAGGAAGACACACATTTTTTAAAGGTCCCAGCTGCTATTGTTATTATTTGAGACATAAAATTGGAATCCCAACTTCCAATATCAAATTTTAGCACAAACTCTATAAAATGTATCTTGTCAGAATGTGTCAGACCTGCTAAGCTCTTTTCAGCTGAACACATTGCAGCTGGTGCTTCATTCTTAAGGTTGAGAATCAACTTTGTGTGTCCTCCGGGGATAGGCAGTGACTTGGTCCCGGTTTTCCCCATGCAGTAGGACTGGCTGGGGAAGGCATGGGTTCCGATTAGCCATGTCCTCTGCCGCTGGACGGGGTGACACGAGTTTGCAGGGCTGAGCCCAGGACCTGGAGATAGCAGCAGCCAGCAGGAATGCCGGGAATGTCTGCCTCACTCCGGACTCTGTGGAGGCACACAGACCTGGGGATTCTGTCCGCGGTGACAGCCTTAACATTTGCCAGAGCCCTGGACGCCGCTGTAGAAATGGCATTGCCCACCCTGAAAGTGAGAAGGTAACGTTTATTTTTGTATTTTTTTCTCTCTCTCCCATATACAGACTGTAGAAAGACCACCAAGCGTGGGCCATTTTTTTTTTCCACCATGATGTACAATTCACATTTGTTAATCAAAAAAAAGTGCCCGAGGTCATCCACCTAGACTTTTTTTTTTTCCTTCTTAAACAGGAAACGGGTTTCAGATGTTTATATGTTAAAAAGTAGGGCTACTAATCTGTTTAGCCATTTACCAGACCCTGGCTAACTCTCTTACATTTTAACATTCAGACCTCATAGCATGACATTCATTTTTATCCCTCATGTTATTTAGAATTAAAAAAAAAATCTTTCAATAGTCACCTGCTTTTTGGGGCAGTTCCAGAGGAAGTTAAAATAAATGAAGTCGGCAGTTTAGTGAAACCGTGCCCTGACGGTGCTGTGTTGTGTTTGAGAATTCAACACCAGACAATACTTTAAAATAGACTGTGGTCCCACGTATTTTCTTGTGTTTATATCCACAAATAGACATTCTGTTCAAGCATCTTATTTAGATTCAGAATAGAGATTCACAAAGGCACACAAATAAGAAGTCTATAGCAAAGGCAAAATATGGTTCTTTTAAATATTGGATCCCTTTTTTTTTCTTTTTTCTTTTTGATTAACGTGGTATTTTCCATGATTCTTCTCGAAATGAGGCTGTGAGTGGGAACAGAGAGCAACCATTTTCCCAGAGAACCCATCATCACTTGAGAGGGCTTTACCCTGATGTTTGAAAATAAAAGTTTTTGTTTTATTGCTGGAAATTTTTTTTCCTTGCCCCAGGGCTGACAATTTTAAACAATTGCTGCCAGTGAAAATATCTCCCTGCTTAGTACGGCAGATCAATGATATTTTTCTATGTTGGGGAGGTTTACATATTTATAATCCGGGAGGAAGGAACTCAAACAGGGGAGGTTTGCATGCTTTTAAAGTGAATTTGTTAGCGCTCAACTCACTGGCTAAAAAGGACTATCTTAACCATAGTTGTCCAAGCAGAAGGAATTCTATCATTTGCTAAACCTGGATCTGATGACCCCTACTGTTTACCTGCCTGTTTGACCAAACGCTTTCTGTCTGCAGATGGTGTAAGGAGGCAAAATGATGAGCTTTGAAGACATTTCATCAAGGAGAGAAATAGCTAAATTGAAATGAGCTCTTAAAATCAGCCCAGGATTCTCTAGCTCGGTTAAAAAAAAAAAGGGATTTGTAAAGATGAAACAAAGAATCATTCTCAATTTCTCTACATATTGTAGAGAAATTGCCCACCCCTTGCCCATCCCCAATGTGCATGTGTGTGTGTGTATTTCTATAAGGCAAAAATACATTTATTTTCTTTTTCATCGGAGTTGTCAGAAGTTGGAGAAAAGATTAGTACAAGTGTAAAAATGGATATGTGATAAATGTCCAAACTCCTTTAAATAAGGTGGCGTGGCTGTGATAAAACAAAACTGAAAATAGATGTGTTTTTGGTTTTTTTTTTTGACAAACAAAACCCCATTTTGATTTCTGGAAGCATGTTTTAACTCCGTGTTCAGATGACACAAGGCTACCCCAGCATAGCCATAAGGGACTCTCAGCAGCAGACCCAGTGACAAAACAGTGACAAGACCACCTGCAGTGACATGTGAGCAAAAATAACAGCAAGTGGTTCTATTGTGAAAGGAGCTCCTGCAAAGCCGATCTCTCAGAATGTCAGCGCCCAGCAGAGGCGGACCCGCGTGGCACAAACACCTCTGTCCCAGGTCCATTCTCGAAAATGTGCCTGGGATACCTGAGAGCCCCGAATTAAAAAAGAATCTGCTTGGCAGGACCCGGTGGAAAGCACCAGGTTGTTGAAACAGCAGTGGGGGAAGCCTGGGGGAGCATCTACACAGCTCCCGAAAGGCCGAAGAAGAAACTGACAGAAGACATTAGTTTGATGAGCGGTCGGAAGACAGCCGCAATTTCGGTGATGGAGAAGTCCCCCCCCCGCCCCACCCCAATTTAGGCAGGTCTCGGGGCATTTGGCTAAAAGGTTCCTTGGCCCTCCTATGTGAAAATCACAGGAGACGAACCACTTTGGGCCAGTACTTTTTTTTTTCCCTTTAATGTCTCTTTTGCCCCCGGAAAGTTATAGGCAACAACAACAAAAAAGCGATGAAGTTTGCAAACCCAGGGTAATCACTGTGTCAGCTTGGAGCTGAGATGTTGCCCAAATGCACACCTGGGTGATGTAAATCATCCCAGCGGTAAACACTTCAGGCCAGGCGGGCCGCAGGCTGCCGGCAGTGCGGGGTGGCATCCTCCCCAGCCAGGTCCATAAACCCCGGGCTGGCCTGCGCTCATAAATGCTCCTTTCACCGGGAAAGACCCCCTCCCAGTCTGAGGTTGCTCAGATAATGGACAGAGGTACTCCCACCCGCGCCACTGGCCGACCGGCCCTGGGCTGGTATCAGGGAGTGAAGTTGACGGAGGTTTATATCGTTATAAATGGCTTTACGATACCTAGAGAGGGGTACCAGAGCTACGGGCTTCGAGGTGGCTATTTTTGAAGGCAGCATGCAAAAATAAACCCCCCCCCCCAAAAAAAAGAAAGGTTTATTTTTTTTAATACCATGCTTGTAAAAATCATAACAATAGTAATAACAATAACCAAAAGACCTCTATGCAATATCCCCAAAGACATACTGAATTAAAATATGAAAACAATTGTCCTCTCCACTGTCTTAAAATCCTTGACTCCAAATGAATGACCATCCCTTTGGTATATAAAAATCCCTGAATGGGGGAAAGCAGATAGCAGAATACATCTCAAAAAGATCACCTCGGTGGGAATTTCTTTACATTCTGATGCTCTACTTAAAAAAAAAATCCTTATAATTATCTAGGCAAGGAGGAGCCTTTTAAATGATATCTTCTGTCTTCAGACAGACAGACGTGAGGACACGCAAAGTAAACATTATAAACTCAGCCTTCAATCCAGCTTTTTATGGCTCTATTCCTTTCCACCTACACGGCGGCTCAGAGAAATGCAGAGAACTCGAGAGCAGTTACTCTGCCTCCGGGATCAACCGTGCACCAAAGAAAAATAACTCAGAGAAATAATTCTGCTGCCCAAGATGTAGCCGGGATCAAATGGCTGCTGATCAGAGCAAATATTTAAATTGGATAAGTCAAATTGAGCATTATTAAATAAAGCTTATTTAATATGTCTCGAACAGAAAATGTCTTTTGAGGAGCATTTTAAACCTGATATTAGGAAATCTGGCTGACTACATGTCTTGGGGCTTCATCGGTGAGCACAGGAATTTGTGTTCTTATGACAAAAAGTGTGATAGCCTCCCTTTACAAATTATTTTTTTCCCCCAATGTATAAAATGAAAGCAGAACGTTTGGTAGGTAGCTTATGGAAAACTGTTAAGGGAATATAATAAATATGAGACAACTGACCCATGTTTTAATGTTTATTCATCAGACAAAGTACAGCCTGGCCACCTTGGTGACATGGGTGACGTGCGACGAGGAGCCGAGAACACCCGCGTGTGGGGTGATGTTTTCCCACCATGGTGCAGCGGGGTAGCAGCTGACCCGTGCTCTCACCAAACCTAAAACCACTCTCTAATGGGTTTTACAATATTTACGTTTTCAATTTTATTTATAGGACACCAGATGTCTACATTCAAAAGAAAAAAAAATCATTTGGAATATAAAAATCTCACCCTTTCCCACGTTTGCTATAGCTTACTAGAGATATGTTCTTTCCCGGTGCCATACGTCCATGTGTGCACGCCAGTCCAGAGCTGGGGGGCTGTGGTCCCCTCAGAATTTAGGGAGGTGGGAGACGGGGCTTTGTTCCATTTTCTGCGAGACCATGGGCATGTCTTTATTTCTGGTCCCTGTTTTTCTCCTTTTGTACAAAGGGAGGGAGCTGATGATGTGCCGAGGCTTGTCCCAATGGTGAGATTGACATGGGCAAAGAATCTCACCACTGGGATTCTTTGACATTCAACTCTTCAGACATATGGGAATGGAGAGTTTGAGAACCAGTTCTAAACCAGACCTGAGAGTGAGAGGGCTGCTTAGGTCCTTCCCAGGCCACAGCGGGAAGTGAATTACTCAATGTCTCCCTTCCTTCACCCTTAAAAGTGGCCTTAGGATAGTCAGCCCATATCAGGGGTGATTGAAAGATGCTTCAAAAATACAAGCTGATATTTTTATGCACTGTATTTGTTTTCGTTGTCAGTTGCCTTGCCACACAGACCCGCCCTGATTTATCTGCCTGAAATGTAGTCACATCTTCTCTCTAAGCAGTGCAAGATCCTGCAGATTCCCTTCATAAAACCTCATCTCCCCGGGGGCCCTTGCTTGGAAGATTTTTCTCCCCTTCCCCCCAACGAAGAGAGAGGAGCAGTTTGCTTTTTTAGCTCAGACCCAGATTTTTTCCTGTGAAGTCACACTGGACAACAGTAGGGGCAGCAAATGAAAGTATCCGTCAAACGTGTTGGTGTTGCCCTGCCGAGCCGTGGCTACAGGCCCCTGGAGCACTAGAGTGGGGGCTGGGTGCTATTCCGGGCACTTCCCACATATCACTTCTTTACTCCTGGAGAGGTGTCACTGGCCCCTTCTTAGCAGACACTCCTAAACTCAGGGCATCCTGCTGTGCATACTGCCCTGAGGGACAGTGGCCCTGGAGATGGACATTGAGTAGCACAGCAGGATGGCAGGCAACCTGACAATTCCTTCTTGGCTTAACTTTTCAGGCCCAGATGGAGAAAGTATAGCTTAAAAGGCCGTAAAAGGGAGGTCCTCCGAGTGTGGCCTGCAGCTCTGGGTAGGGCAGCTGGGCAGGTTGCTTTAGAAGAGGCTCGTGTGTGCTACTTCAATTCATCAATAAGAGCAACTAGGGGGCCTGGTTTGCATTCCCATGCACAGCTTTACACATCTTGAGCATCAAAGCAGGAGAGACCACCGAAGGCCCGGAAGGAGGCAGTATCTGTAGGACTGGATGTGTGGCCTGCCTGGGAACACGGGGAAGCGACACTACAAAGGTCAGGAGAGGGGGTGATGGACGGACCCGCGGGAGGCGGAGAAGAAATCTTTAGGGTTAGAAACCTGTGTCCAGGGAGAAGAGGGTGGTGCTATTAGCAGCTTGGTGGGAGCTGAGAAGAGAAGATGAAGGGGGTGGGGCAGGGTGGGAAGGAGGGAGAGATGAAGAAATGCTGGTGGGAGGGGCTTGCAGGGGAGGGGAAGGATGGGGGAGGCAGTGGGGACTTTGGATCATTCTTCCCTTCACCATTTGGCTGCTCACGTCTGCTAGAGACATCTTGTCTCCTGCTGTTTCCACTCCAAGCCTCCCATCCCCCACTTAGTGGACAACCCTGACTGTCCCTTAGAGTCCCTTAGAGAGCATTGACAGTATAGATGCCGGGCGCCACCCCAGAGATTTGGAAAACATTAGGCTGGGCGTGGGACTCGGCTTCAGTCAGTTTTACCAGCTCCCAATCAGGGACTGAAACCCACTGCCCTAGGCCTCAACTTCTACATTCAGACTTCTTCTGTGAGCTCCCACTTGGCTAACCAGAGGCTTCAGCGGTTTTGTTTGTTTTTAATTCACACACTCTGAAGAGGCACTTGTCTGGATGGTGGACTTGCCTTGGTCCAGAAGCCACACCGTCCATAAAGAAGCATCATCTCCATCACACCAGATACTGGCGGAGCACTGCACTCTGGACAGGGACATCTGGGGTTGGGTCTTGGCGAAACAGAGACACTCCTAGCATGGGAAACACTTCCAAGATGGCCGCGACTGCTCTGGCCCCTTCATTGGTGGGGTCTGAAAAGAAGGAGCCCCTCTTTGACTTGTGCACCCTCACACCAACCTGCGGCCTCGCCATCCAAGCTGAGAGAATGCACAGGACCAGCCCAAACAGGTTCTGAGCCACAATGGGACTTCCACAAAGTTCCGTCACAGCAGCACGTGGCTTTGTCTTTCTCAGTAAATGTATTCCGACAAAACAAAGAAAATTTTAAAATCTTCGGGAAAAAAATTCAAATCTTGATAAATTGAAACATACATCCCAGTTATTCGTTCTAAGTAATGATGATGTCCCATGGGCCCCCTTACTTTCTTGTAAATCGCAAGCCTCATTAATGAGCGTTAGCATAGAGAGAGTATCTAGAAACCCAGCACTGTTTTGAGCCTCCTGTGGCTTATTTAATTCATTTCATAGCGGCAATGACCCTATGGGGCAGGTATTATCTTTATGCCCACTTCACAGCTGGGATAAGTGAGGCACAGATGACTTGTCCAAAGCACCCAGAGAGTAGGTGCCAGGGCTCTGATGTGAACCCAGGTTGTCTGGCAGTACCGAGAAGAGAGGATGGCATTGAATTGGAAAATGTAACTTATTTAGGAGAATTTCTTAGAGGATGTCAGAACAGCAGCCCCAGCCAGCTCTACAGCTCCCTTTGAGTCACT